TTTCATATTCCCTCCTCGCTTTTTTCATATTTCAGTTAAATAAAATTATCGATGCTATTTTAACACTACAATTAATTATTCATGTTTTATGATAATAATTTGCGTCCAAAAAACAATGTCTCGTAATACAATGTAATGTAAAATTGATTATATTGACCGAATTAAAAAAATACTTAATACAAAGAACGAACATACGTACAATGCACAGTGAGCATTATTCTTTTGCTGACAGAGGGGGGTACGCCATTGGATGCGATACATAAATAGGAACCCATATGTAGTCGGTTCACTTTTGTGATATTGAAGCTCGGTCCGTCCACGCTTGCAACTGGAATTAGAAGAATTAATTATAATAAAAGCGCTGTAAAATTTTAAAAGAGAGAAAATTGAAACTAATTCTCTTTAAATTTAAGTTAATTCTTTAAGTTAAATAATATTTTGTATATTTTAACTTCCAAGAGTGTGTTAAAATATATTATTTTAATACAAAATATGTGATTGAAAAGACAACATCTAATGAATCCATTTCCGTGATTAAATTGCTTGCAAACTTTTCAAAGTAAGTAGCATTCATATTGACGTATGCATTTAATAAATAATAAATCACGTAAATTTAAGTCAAATTTATTACATTTTTTAGTTAAATTAGGGATATATTGAGAGCGGGAGTAATGGACTTATGGAAATGATTAAAAAGTAATTAATTTTGATATAATTTGACATTACGAATTTAATAGTGCAGAGAAATATAAGAACGTGTGAAATATAGACATTTTATTGTATCATCTAATAATAAGCGTGATAAGTTTTATATATAATGTAATAAAATGGAAACATTTATTTAATATAATATCAAATATATGTATATATATATATATATATTGGGGGGAAGGAGAGAGAGAGAGAGAGAGAGAGAGAGAGAGAGAGAGAGAGAGAGAGAGAAATTTCATTTGTCGATAAATAATAAAACGGGATAGAGAATGAAAGGGATTACAACTGCAGGCTAGAAAGGTATCAATAAGTTTGCAACGAGAATTTCCGTGCGAAATATGATCGATGTTATCGATGATAAATCGAGGTAGATGTAACTTTTACGCTGTGACATCGAATGCTTTTGGTGTCAATCGATTTTTTCCATGAAACATGGAACGTTGGACCTCAGTGGAATTCGGCAAATTTTTGTTTTTTATTCTCGGGGATGTTACGGTTTCCGGGAATTTCGATAAAGTTATAGCTATAGACAGTTTGGCGCACGGGAAAAGTGCGTGACGCCCCGATCGACCGAGGCCGCTTTGACGTCGATATTTTTATTAGCACTGGCAGTCCAGAACTGCAGAATTTCTGAAAATCTTCAGGATTATACGTTCTGTTAAAAAATATCGTTTCATACCCGTAACATATATCGTTTTATTGGTTAGTTTTTAATTTTCAATGATGTCATAGAAATATGGAAATAAAGAAGGATTAAATTACCTTTGCAAATAAAAAAAAAGAGAGAAAGAGAAAGGGAGAAACGATGGCAACAGTTAAGTTATTCCGACACAATTCTGTTTAATTCGATCAGTGGCACGAATAACGCCGAGATAACGTTTTTCCGCATTTTGCATTGGAAATTTCACCGAGTCATATTTTTAAACGTGTTCGTCCACCTCAGTGAAGTTCACGAAGTACATTCGTGCAACTTTTTTTGACGTCAGTACCGCCGCACGCGACGCGACGGAAATTGGTTGCCGAAGTTCCATCACTTACGTTTCAATTTGAAAGCGGATTGAACGCGTTTAGGCTTTGTGCGTGTAGGTGCGAATTCTCGATACAAATTCTCCGTAAAATTATTATGATTATTGCGCTTGAAAAATAATCGTACGCGAGAAAAACGCCCGACACCGATTCGCATTGCGCAACTGTACTGCGAACTTTTACCATTTTATCAATGTAACCATTATTGTCGGAAGAAGGACCACTTTCGCGCGCTAAAATGCACCGGGAAAATGTGCAAACTGTTTTGACGAACGATCGCATAATGCAGCAGCTGTGAACTCGATTGTGAACTGTTTCGCGAGCATGTGTGCGATCTTTATAAAGCATTTTAAATTATACTAGTACACGGACACAATGCATGATAATAAATAAAACATACTGCTGACTACTGTTAAATTTTCTGGAATTGTTGGACGGAGTATCTCATAAATTCCCATTATTCATAAAACGCATTCAATAACGTTGTAGCCAGTAACGAAAAAAAAAAAAAAATAAATATGCTGTATTATAAAATTCTCTGAATATTTAACATATACGTGTAATTATATTCAATTAATTCAATATTCAAAGATAAAAACTTTGAAAGGGTGAAACTGGTTCATATCTATCGTATCCACACACACGTGTTCGAAATTCAAATAGTAATTTACGGAGAGCCTCGTCAACTCGGACAATACACAGTCATTCAAAGACTATGTGCATTACAGGATGCAAATTCAATTTACTTATCCGAAAGTTGAAGACTACCTATCTCCACTTGACCACAATTAAATTTGACAGAATGTCCGTGCTCTCGCATCGATAATAAATTTATAGTTTTACGACGAAAAGCTAAGTATGTCAGGATGCAAAAAGTAGTAAAAGGCACGCGAACACTGAAAAAGAATTGCGCGGAACGTGAATCGCGATATTTCCATATGACGCGATATCAGAAGCTAATGACGCTAGCTTTCTCAAGTTCGAGATCCGTTGAGACCCGTCGAGACAAGATTACGACGTGTTACACCGAAGTTCTGAATAATCCAATAACGCTTCATAGTATAACAATGTCCTGATCGTAATATCATTAAGGTACAAGGTCGTTAGAAAAAGTCGAGACTTTTTCTAATGCCGCCAAACACCCACCGCATGTATATGCAGTAGGGATTCTCCGAATATGACCTAAAAATTTTGAAGACATCTTCAAGTTTCGAATTTGGTCATTATTTCTTTGTAAGAACTATAAAGAAATTATATGTGTAAAATTACAACAATTAGTAGAGCTTACAATACGATGTATATTTAAAGGTGTACATTTACACATACTTAAATTTAAAAATAAAATTATTTTTCCTTTATAGTAAAATAATAATGGTAGAGGTATAATACACAAACAAATAATTAGGTCTAAATTTAAAACTAGTTTATTAAAAACCAAAAGGGAAAAGAAAGCTACGAGCCGAAGATTAATCGTTATAAATTAAAAATTGAAAACGTTAATAAATAAATATTATTTAGTTAAAATATAAAACTTTAATTTGCCGGCAATAAACAAAACGAAACAAAAATAAACGTTTCGACCTATGTTGGATCAATGTTAACAAAAAATAACGGTGAAATTATTACAAAGAAAAGATATATAAAAATAATAATTAGCTCTCAATCGCAGTATTAATGTTGTCAATAATCTCGCTCAGTATACGTAGTAAATATTGTAATTAGAATGTTGTTATCGGTAACAATGTATTCCTCTGATTATGTATATAGAGTATAGACAACATAATTATTGTTTCTGTTAAAAAATACAAATATAATGTAAAAATATAATAGATATAAGTAATCAGTAATACAATGTAATGAGAGAAACACAAACTAAGAAGAAAGGAATAGAAATAAATAAGTAATATAATATAATAAGAAATATATACTAAAAATTATTAATAAGAATTAAAATTGTGCGATATACAATTATATATATTTAATTTAGTAGCAGCTAAATTAAATGAGAATAAATACCTTATAAATATGTGTCAAAATATATTAAAAATCGTCTATTCTTAGATAATGCGATGAGAGTGAAAATTGAATAATTTCTCTCAGATGTTCAGAGACAATATAAAATCGACATTCTAAGCAAGAAGGTTGATGTGGTAAACTAGAAAGAAAAGAGAACATAAAAGGGGGAAAAATAAAGAAGTTTATTAAAACATCAAAGGAGTAATTTTAGAACTAGACTTTTACTAATGTACAAAGTATGGAACGTTTCAACTTTACTTAGTCATCTTCAGTCAATAAATAGTAAAAAACGATAAAAAAATTAAGAGATTAAATCATTATTATTTTACAGTTTTAAACTTGAAATTTGACAATTTTATAATAATGATTAAATAATTTATAAGAGTAAATTTACAATTAAAATTAAGTCTATGGAAATATTTACGTAATAATTTGCTAACAATTTATATACAACTTTTTAAAGATACGTTATCAAGATATATAAACGTAAAAATACAAATAATATGTATGATATTATCATTATGTTATATATACATATTAAAAATTTGTACAATATATCAAAATTATAAAATAATATTGTTGTTATAGTAATTTTTTGATTAATATAAAGATATATTTACACAGTTAAAGGTAAAGTGCTAATTTTTGTAAAAATGCAATATTTCCACTGTAAATTATATAATTCTTACACATATTATTTATTTTACATATTTTTTTACAATGTGAGTTGCGTGAAATGTAAAACATCTTACATAAGTTTTAATTTAAAAAAAATGAAAATAAATTTGACAATGTAAATAACGTTTTCATGTAAGAAAAATCGTTTTAAAAATGAGTAATGCATGGATTGGCGAAAGCGAAATTATGTACTAAACTGAATTTTTACATAAGGTGTAATGAATTTTGTATAAAAAAACTTAAAAACAAGAATTAATTGTTAGAAGTGCAATTTTTTAAAAAGCAAATATCTACATAAATAAAGCAAGAATAATATTAATTTGTATTTTTATTTTGTAATTATTATATACGTATATTATGGCGATTGTCGTTGCAGAAGCAGTGTAAAATTTAGCAACTACTTTCAAACGCCTGACGAATGGCAATCAATTCGCAATCGATTCGCCACTCATCACTAGATGGCGACTGAACTCGTAAGTCAAATCCGACACGGACTTAGATAAAAACTCGCGAGCTCGCAGTACCAACGGCACTCATCCACCTTCGTTTCTGATGCAAAGAAAGACAGTCGCAGCATAATCCCGAAGAGTTATCTAATCAATCTACGTCTTCAAGAAGGCCGCTTCGCCTCGACCACTTACGGGACAGAGGAAGGACGAGGAGCGATCCTGATTTATCCGACAAGAATCTTCGTTGCTTGCAATTTCCGACGAGAAGTCTGCGGTATTCAGCAATGTCTGCGAAGCCCAATTCTAAGGAGTCACCTGCGGAGCCCGACAATATGAGAATGCCACGTGGAAGCCTGCCTGCCGTGGAACCCTCAGGGGACTTAGAGTTTTTTCCGACCGGCGCTTCGAATTCTTTCTCGCCGGCTTCACCACCACCTCACGAGAGAGGCACGCTGCCAAATATACCGATTCACCGAGGCATTTTGGTAGTACCGCAAACAACCGATCGATCCGTACAGACGGAGCCAATCATACAGATTTGTCGAACTATCCAAGCAAGATCGCGAACAATCAATCAGTCCATACAGACGCAGCAGCCGGACCGCTCTTCTGTTACTACTTCAACCCTGCGTTTATCACTGCGGAGCCTTATTCAGCGCCGACTACGACGCATGAGGCAACAACGCCGACGACAGCACGGGCATTCTGACTCTGAGAGCGAAACCACCAGGGACGACGAAGAGGCGAACAAGCGACTGTACAACACTTACAATTAGCGACTGAACACCAGTCGCTGCCAAATCTAGAGGGAGGACCAGATCCGACATAAATTAATCTGACAGGATCATCTCTCATTTGCATACACAACCGTCCTTTTCAGGACGATCATGATGTTGATGTTAGGAACACACACGCGCGCGCGCGCATGCATATATGCAGAATTAGTTATAAGTATATTTTAGTTGAGCATATTTCTGAATAAAATGGAAAAGCAAATGTTATACAATTACATCAAATAATGACAATTTGGAGACACTGGTAGTGTCTCGGCGCTAAGCTTAAACAATTACATCAAAAACTTTTTTATTTATAAAAGTTTTAGGTGGATACTTCTTTTTGTTCATAACAGATTATCAAAGTGTTCTGTAACATTTTCCATCGTGCCTGAGCACAATGTATGCATACGATTGGCATATTCATTCATAAACATTAGCATTCCATATTCTCCTTTTCTATTTGCAAGAACACGCTTATAAAATTTTAAAACATACTTTATATGACTCATTCCATAAATCATAATTTTGTTCGACTATTAAAATAATGATGTTAGGATTACAGAATGCTCGAGTTAGCCGCTAGAATGTCAAATATAATTATTTTGATAGTCCAACAAAATTACTTTCAGATTCGTATCTACCTAAACCTTCAGGTATTTCATCAAAATTGTCCTTTCGTGTATATAAATATGTACATAATTATCAAAATATAATGATTAAAAAATATTACATATATAAAATAATTAAATAAAGAGTTAAGAAACACACAAAACAAAATTTTAATATTCCATAAATAATAACGGTTCCAATAATTACAAAATTAAACAATACGAAATAGGGCTAAGAACTCAGAATAACATATGAGTAACAATATTATTGTAATCAAGATCAAAACGTACAGACGTTTCGACTCCTATCAAGTCCTTCTCAATGTTAAAAAATAAATTTAAATGTTACCGGTAACTACGCAAGATGTTCAATATATCAAAAAGGCGCATAAAATACTCGCATGTTGGTACTAATAATTATGGCATAAAAACGATCTAGATTCAATCGGCTTCCATCGGAACTTGTAGCTCGTATATTCCAGATGTCACAAATCGTATGCAGTCTAAGATGCTGTAAGCTTCATTTCAAATTTACAATAAAATAGCCCATTGAAATTTACAGCAATAAAGTTGAAATCCTCCTTCATATTCTAATTGTAAATATAATAATTATAATAATTACCTAACTAATAATATCAATTGTCATTGAAGATACAAAAAAATAATAATTATGTCATTATACGTTTATGTCTTACATAAAAAATTTTTTTAACGTGAATAATAATAAAAGATAAATATTCAATACCTGCTGATAATTCGAAGTTAAAAAAATTAAAAATATATAAATTGAATATAGAAAATTTAATATTATAACACAGAGATATCAAACGGATCTTTAACACTGTTGAACTCTGAGATGTAATGCTGAAACATTCGGTATATTGAAATAATCCTGCCATCTAACAAGAGAAGTGGTAATAGAAATGACGTAGGAAGGATCCTAGGAAGGAGAATTCAACGATGTAGGAAGGGATTGTAAGAGGGGTAGATATATGTCAAGCAGCGGATCGGTATCTGTTCAAACCATATTTTTGCTTTTTAATGTGGACCATTTTAGACGTTATTCTTTTTTTATAGTAAGGCTCATTCTCCAAAATTTCAACCTCTCCCCATTTGAAATCGTGATTAAAACTAGTATGATAGTCAGATAAATGGGGAGAGGTCGAAATTTTGGATAATGAGCTTTATTATAAAAAAAAGAATAGTGTTTAAAATGGTCCACATTAAAAAGCAGAAATATAGTTTGAACAGACAAACAGATACCGATCCGCTACCTGACATGGTTATTATTTATGAATCTTTTATAAGCCGTATATTCTGAGATCCCTCTGTGTGTGCGTGTGCGTGCGTGCGTGTGTGTGCGTGTGTGTAGGACACGGTAAAAATGCAAGAATTTTTAAAAGTTTTTCTTATATCATATTTAATTTTACATAAAAACTAAATATTTCTTATTTCTAATGTTTTTTTAGTAGTAGACGTTTTTATCGGAATAATATGTTTAATCTTAAATATAATAAACAATACTTGATAAATTAAATTTTCGATAAATGCTACATATATACTGGAGTTACCCTAATATCATCATATACTATGTGTACGTACATATACATATGTACCGTTTGTGCGTGTGTGTGTATGTGTTTATATACCTTGACTTGGAGATCAGGCCTCGGTTCGAATCTCAATAGGAGTGGAGTTGATTTTCTCGTGCTATCGCTTATGCCTTACCACGAATTACGTAATTTTGAGTGGTGAAAACGTGCAACGTAAGTGACGAGTGCTAAATGAGTATTTTGCACTCGTATACGTTTTTTCACCTCAAATTTACGCAGCACGTATTTACCACTCAAAAATACTCGTAATGTATACAATTTCAAGGAAATATACAAATTTATAATTCAGAACGAACATGACTCTCTTTTGTGTTACTTAAATTATTTTTCAATCTAACTTTGACATCGTGATTTTTAAATTTGTTGTAATGGATTGACGATGCTTGGATCCGTTTGCGATTGTTGTTGGAGAGGGCTTAAGTTCCACTATCTACTCCACTCAGCTAAGCAACTGGTTGGCATAACATTAGACTATGTTGAAGATGGTTGCCTCTCACCACATTTCCACTGCGACTGCATTATTTGAGGTCGGAACCACGATAGTGCGAGACGCAGTTCGACAGATTTTATAGTGCGATAAGCGGTAATTTTTTATTGCTGAGGATGGCTCAAATAGTAAGCCGAAACGTACAAAATTGAATTTGTGACATATTAATAGGTATCAGTTAGCTTTGCGCAATATAATATCCAGCGCTGACTCCTAACGCCCAATTGTATTTTGCCGTTACTTTCATTGTCGTAATGTATACGTTTTTACCATTCGTGTCCTGCATGAGTGCAATCCGTTTTAACCACTCATTTTTACGGAAAAGTTCCTGTTTGCGACATAAAAACGGAGTCACATACTCATTGAATAAAATGCACATTTTCACCACTCAAATTAACCATTCGCGCGGAACAGTTAATTTGAGTGGTGTAAAAACGGGCTAAAAACGGGGAAAAATTTTTATAAGGGAAAATATTCTTAAATGTATATATTATTGTATATACATATAATTTATATATTTTTTGTTTGGTAATTGCCGAAATTTTGTTTTGTCTCTTATTTGTCTGATCACTTTTAATCATTTTTAATCTTACAATATTATTAGATTTTATGTTTTGATGATTTTTATACTAATCACTGGATACTATCTTGTTTCTTTTCTTTATTGTCTCAGGGTCAGAACAAATATCTAGGTGGTAATCTAGGAGTTCCTCTAGTAAGAGTTAAGACATAAGATCGGAAAGACGCCATTGCCGGGTGGCCGGATTCCATCATGGTTGACAGTCCGATTTTGCGTTCACGCCTTCTACACCATGAAATAGTTGCTCACACCAATCCACAGATTCACATCGAAAGTATCTGCAAATGGCGGCGAAGGGACTCGAAATCTGACCAATCAGAGATCAGTACCCCTTATGACTTGACTCCTTACTAGAGGAACTTCAGGTAATCTTAGGGTGTGTTCTGAGTTACGCATAAAGCGTATAATGTATTGTTTTGCCTTTTTTTATTAATTGATAAACAACAAAGACAAATGATGCATCATGCATTTTATGCGTAACCCGGAACGCACCCCTTATAGTCTGCAGTGATCCCTTGGAAAAACTATTACGCGGGAATATTCTTTCGAGTGATCGCCACGCCGCGTCGGTGCTGTGTCCCGAACGAATAAGCCGGCGACCCATCACGATCGAAACATCGTGGCCTCCCTTCTCGGTACACACTTTATCCGATTAATGGCGTAATAGCGAAACTATGGATAGCGTAATCGCGGTTTAAGTTTGATCCGGTTGTTTATCGCCCCTCTCGCGCCCTATACATACGACTACGACCGCGCATGCACGCCTATGTGCACCGAAGTCACCGTATCGCGCGCTCGCCGTGTGTTTGCCAATTTCAATGCAAATATAGAAGATCTTCCTCGGTCTCTGCAAACGTATCACCTCGCTCTAACCTATTGGCCTTGCCACGCGGTGTGTTTGCGCTCTCGAGCGACCGCCGCGACCGGTGCAGTGCTGAGCGGCCCCAGGCTTGATACGGCTCGAATGCACTCGCGCAGTTTAGCCCGAATGTATTTCCGCCGCCGCGGAGCGTAAATCTTTTTTCAGGCGATGCCTTTACAGCCACGAGCGCGTAACGGAGCGGAGCTTTTGGCGCGTTGCCGCCGCGTTTAGGGACGTTAGAGGGATATTTACTCGATTCGAGCTACTCGGGTTTGCGAGTCGAATCCGTACGATCCCCCCAATGATATCTTCCGAAAGCCGGGCACGCTCATTTATCTTTCAGGGACGAGAAATAATCTGGACGATGTTAAATTTGTAAATATTTAAAGCTCGTCCGCGCTTTTTCAAGCGTTTATCAGACGAATTAAATTATATTATTTTAAAAAGCATCGTACATAACGTTTTTTGCAAGTCAGCCATGAAAGTTACAAACTTCATAAGCAAAGTTCTACCTCCGTGTGCTTACCTATTACGTGAATTCGCAGCATCATAGGTAAAAAAAAAGAAACAGGTGAAATCAACGTTTTCATAACGGAAATATCAGTAAAAGCCGATATACAGTGGAGAGGGAATATAATGTAAAAACTTAAAAAGTTTTTGATATAATAATAGGACAATAAGAACAAGTGAGTGTTAAGATCTATAGTTGATGAGCACGAATACAATATAATTTTATTATTTTAAAAATTTACGAAAAAAAAATATATCCGAACGTTTCGAATTTTTTTTTGAGTCATTCTTAACAAAAAATGGTATACGCAGTTGAAAAATTAGTATCAAATTTAATACATTTTATATTCGAAACGGCCCATGAAATTTATGTGTTAATTTAATATAAAATTAATATATTGAGAAGTAACACAAATATTACGTGTAAAAGTTGATACGAAAATATAACACTATAAGCAAATTGTAAAAGCATATTTCTCCGAAAATTTAATATATTATAATATGTTAATGTTTGATACATTTTATTCATTTATTTTAGAACTTATATTTCATTATTTTGTTATTTGCTTATTTACTAATAAATTATGCTACTTTAAGAAGTGTTGAATATATCTAGTACCAAATATTCGAAGTGTTGAATATCAATTTAACAAAAAATATTCGAATAATTGACGTTATTTTAAACGAACACTTGGATATGTTAAAAATTCAATACAAAAACAAGTATCGGTTTTAACATAAATACAAAATGGACATACAGTAAAAATATTTTTTACTACATATAAATTTTACACAAGTTTTAGTAGACAAAAATGGTCAAAAACGTAAAAAGGATGTGTCATTCACATCGCGATTGCAAAGCCGTATATGTTAAGTCGGTCCAAAAATATCCCGTAAATAGGTGCATGAAATTAAAGAAGCACAGATAGAACAAATATTTACAGAATTAAAATTAATCAGTACAGTGATAATGTTCATAAAAAGCAAAAAATTAATATTAAAAAAGATCAGCAGATAATTACAGTTTAAAAGAAGTAAAGTTAAATAAGTAATAAGATGTTGTCAAGACAGAGAACTTTTAAAGTCAAATAGAGTATAAAAGTTTATAAAAGACCGAAGGGAAAAATTAAACTCTATAGTTTTCCATGGCAAAGGCGGAGCGCAGAAATTTCGTGATTGTCCGGCGCAGAGCTAATGACACATAAAATGCTTAGTACATTTCAAGACGAGAGGAGACGTTTAAAAGGAGCGGAAGAGGGAAAGGAGAAGTTAAAAGCGCAATCCGGAAAAGGACCGCATCGCGAACGATCGTCGAGTGCACTCCGCCGAGTATCAAACGTGGCGTCTTCCGCTCGTCGTATTCGATTAGCTCTCGTCGTAAACGAAGCGTCCGTCGCGACGAGAGGGAGGTGGAGGAGCGCGACGAGAAGAGGCGCGACCGAGAGAGAGCGAGTCATCTTAATTCAACGAAATTTTCCCCGACTTTATCACCCGGGCCTGACTGCGAATTACCGCTCGTTCGCGGACAGCTCGTTAAAACTCACCTTCCTCTCCGTTCCCGAGCTGAATTTGCTGACCGTCCTCGCGCCGCCAGGTGATGTTGGGCGCCGGGGAACCGGTCGCAGCGCAACGCAGAGTCACGTTTCGTCCCTCCATCACCACCATGTCCGTGCTGGTGTCATAGTCCAGAATATCGGGCGGCACTGTCGGCAGAAAAGTACGAGCGTGAAAATATCGTATATAAGTTGAGTGAGCTGGGCTACGCAGCACGTACGTGCGTTTAAAAAAGAAAAGATAATTCAAAGAGAGAAGAAACTTCGCGCTAACGGAGATGTGAATCACGCCTCTATACTCGTATGTTGTTTCCAATTATCTCGATCATTTACCCAGTCGAGCAAGATTGTTTTAGCGAAAACTGTAATTATGGTTATATTTACGGTTCGTTTTTCGCAAAAAATTATCTCAGTAATGGTAGATATTAATGGTACACTATTAGAAAAAATATTTAGTATTCGTGGTTATATATGGTGAAATAATTATGATTGAGAATTTCATATTTTTATTTATTATTGCTACATAATGTTACACGGAATAGAATCGTTTTGCTGAAGCGTATAAAAATTTAGTTTGATATAAATCTGAAAATAATTTGTTTAAATCAGAATAAATATGCAGGAATAAATATGCTCAAATTGCAGGTTGCTAGAATATTAACATTTTTTACAGCATTATCTTTAACGCTTGAGAGTTCAGCAAAATTATTTTCAGATTTGCACTTGATTAAATTTTTAGATACTTGAGCAAAACTCTTTCCGTGTAATAATAATAATTACATTTGTATACAAAAAAATATAGTCGTTTTTGGGACTAATTATATATGTATATTTTCTTGTATATAGAACTATAAATATAATAATTATTATATTTGTTCATTTATTGTTTAGTAATTATTATTACTTATAACATTAGCAATGATAATTATAAAAATGGAGCTCTTAAACATAATTATTTTACTATATACAAAATTATAGTTACAAACATCAAACAGTTTTCTCTTAGTATATTAGAAATTCAATAGAATCATGTTAGATAGAAAAGTATATCAGATGAAGGAAAACCGCGAGATTGGATAACCGTACTATATTTGTCTTTAATCCGCCTAATGGACATGATCCTATAATCATACGATATCTAATAAAAGAGCTTACATTCAGGTATCTGGTTACCAGAAATTAGAAGATATCCGAGTAAAAGCGGAGTACGGAGTAGTAAATTTGATCTTCCCGACGGTACCAATGAGACATGAGAGAGCGCAAAGCTTTCGCAATACTTAGCGCAACAATAAGCCCGTAAGTTGCTTCTTGCGAAGGCAGTAAAGGGGTGGACAAGTATATCTGTTCGTCCATAAATCAGCCGTCGTGGATTAGCTCTCTGTATGCGAGAAGGGTGGAAACTACGAGCAGCAACCACGTCGTTCACGTACAACGTACGGCGGGACGACACGTGCGCATACACGACGCATGCAGGCTGCACGTAATAAAGTAGACAACGATAACGGCGGGAACGAACGCATCCGCGTCATCGCCGGCGGAAGCGACGACTTCACCCCGCGCGCCACTCATCCTACCTATAATGTCGGATCTCTTGTACTTAGTCGTTAAAGAGAGCAAGTTAAAGGAAACGAATTTCTCATTTCAGATATCACTCGCCGACAGAAAAGTGTTTGATATTTGTGATTATAATTGGTTAAATAATTATTAGGTTCGAATCTTCATTTTTGTTATTATTAATGCTATAATGTTAGTAATAGTAATTATATTTATAGTTTTATACATAATATTTATATATAAAAATATATAGTTGGCATCGAAAATGATTATAATTATTAGTCATTTTTTGTATCAATATATATATTATATAAAATTATTATTACTACACACACATAAGAACTTTTCTTTGTGTACAATATTATCAATGTTATACTGAAGTAGTAGGGGAGATCGGGCTCAATTGACTATAGGAGTAAGTAGAATAATCGAGGTTACATTAAAAACAAAACACGCAAGACACGCGTGAACGTGTCTGAGCCATCGACATCTAGAATGGACCGCTGATGGCAATGGTGGGGGTAGAAAGACGATTAGAGTGAGAGGCAGG